TCAATGCCTGTGTCCGCGGCGTCATCGTGCTTAATGAAACATTGATTTCGCTTGGGGCAGGCAGGGCAATGGAAATTTCGGCGGCGATTTCGGCGGCTGATTTTTTTGGCAGGGTCGCAGTTATCTCGGCGGCGGTTTCGGCGGCAAGTTCGGCGGCAAGTTCGGCGGCAATTTCGGCGGCAATTTCGGCGGCGATTTCGGCGGCGATTTCGCCGGCAATTTCGGCGGCGGTTTCGCCGACGATTTCTGCGGCCCCTTCGGCGGCCCTTTCAAGGACCATTTCGGCGGTTTTTCTTTTTAGCAGCTGTCGACGAATGCTCTTGGGAGCACGCAGCACTCGGCTGTGGCAAAGAGTCGATGTGCGGCGACGCAGGCTGACGTGCCCACAGCGCAATGATGATTTTGTGGTCTTAGCGGTGATGATGGCGACGGCCGCGGTGATATTTGGTTCAAAATGGATGCTCGTCGGGGGGCGCTGCAGGCGGGCCTGCGCGCCCAGCATAGCATGTTTTCAAAAAAACAAAAAGTACCGCGCACTTTCTATGGAATTCGGCGGTTATTTTGGGGGTTGTGGCGGCTCCAAAGTATGGTCATCGGTGAGTCTTCGTCCTCCTCCTTCCTCCTCCTGCTCCTGCCCTTCCTCCTGCTTACCCGCCACCGCCTCCTCCTAAGTACGTAGCTCCCCTTCTCCGATCGCGCATAATACGATGGGGTACTTTTTGGAGTTCCAGGTCGGCTATGACACGCGTCCGCAAGTAGACAGAGGTCAGCGCAACGGGAAAGGGATGGGAGGGAGGGGTAGGATGCCAGATATGGCGCGAGCGCACCTAACCCCAGTCGCACCTTCCTGTGCAGAACCAAGGAAGGGGGTTTGGGAATGGGGCAGGTTCCCAACGTGAACGCCACAAACCGTGTCGCTCAATCCCACCCTCCCTCCCACCATACAAGTAATGCTCGATACTCAACACAGAAAGTGGTCGCCATGGGACGCAGCCATGGGGAACCAATCCAGACGCCAGGTGCGCGACGTTCGCGTGGTGAGCCATGCGTGGCAAGTGCGCCACCGGGCCCATGCGTGCCAGGCGCGCCTAGTGCGCCAGATGCGCCACGTGCGCCTTATGCTCCAGCCGCGCCAGGTGCGCGATGCGTGCAGTGTGCGCCATGTGCGCCAGTGTACGTGACGGCACACATCGGACAACGTTTCGGAGTCCCTACCATCCCTGTCAACACACGAGCCACTGCAGAATTGCGGCGGGATGGTCAGCATGGTGTATGGCTTTTGCAGCCGACTATGTTCGCAGTGGTTATTGGGTAGGGGTAGTGGGCCAGCGCACAGTGGAAACATATGATACGTAGCACCCCACAATTGCGGATAAGAGTGAGGGGGCGGGCGCGGGCGACGCGGGCGTCGTGGAGCCGCCGGACCTCGTGGCCCCCACCTTCCCTGTCGATGGCGCTCTCCTCCTCCTCCTCCTCCTCCTCGTCCTCCTCCTTTTCCTCGTCCTCGTCCTCATCGTCATCGTCATCCTCCTCCTCCACCTCGTCGTCCTCCTCCTCCTCCTCCTTTTCTTCCTCGTCCTCCCTCTCCCCCCTCGTCCTTTCATCATCGTCCTCCCAGTGTCGTCCTCCCCCTCATCGGCCTCCATCATCGTCCTCCCATTGTCGTCCATCATCATCATCATCCTCCCCCTCCTCCCCCTCCTCGTTCTCCTCCTCCCCTTCCTCCCCCTCCTTCCCCTCCTCGTCCTCCTGCTCCTCCTCTTTTTCTTTCTCCACATTCTCCGTAAATCCTCTTTTCTTCCGCGTTCTCGTCGTCCCCTGTTTACTCCTCCTGCCTCCCCCTCCTTTCCCAAGCTAATTTGCAACGCAATCCTTTTTCCCACTTTATGCTCCCCGCCTTCTCTGATCAAGGCAACTCGCAAGGGCAAAGTTGCTGGACGGGCTGGTGTGGATGCGCGGGGCTTGAAGAGGTCCTTGCGGGCTCAGACGGCATGCAAAAATCCGCCGCCGCGCTTGTGCGGCATTGGCTTGTTCAGTGAACGTGGTTTAGGTCGCGGGTGGGTCGCGGGATCTCCACCTCCACCTGGAAGGAATGCAACAGCAGCCCGCCGCAGGCGCCAAAAAAAAATTGTTTGTACACTGAACGTGGTTTGGGTCGCGGGTGGGCCGCGGGTTCTCCACCGGGAACGAATGCAAAAGATGCCCGCCGCAGGCGCCGAAAAATGTGGTTTGTACCCTGAACGTGGTCGCGGGTGGGCCGCGGGTTCTCCACCTGAAACGAATGCAAAAGATGCCCGCCGCAGGCGCCGAAAAATGTAGGTTGTACCCTGAACGTGGTTTGGGTCGCGGGTTGGTCGCGAGTTGGTCACGGGGTGTGTCGCGGGCTCCCCGCCTGGAAGGAATGCAAAAAAAAACCGGCCGCGGGCGCCGAAAATGGTGGTTTGTACCTTGAACGTGGTTTGGGTCGAAGGTGGGTCGCGGGTGGGTCGCGGGGTAGGTCGCGGGTGGATCGCGGGTGGGTCGCGGGTGGGTCGCGGGTGGGTCGCGGGTGGGTCGCGGGGTGGGCCGCGGGCGGGTCGCGGGGTTGGGTCGCGGGGTGGGTCGCGGGGTGGGTCGCGGGGTGGGCGCGGGGTGGGTCGCGGGGTGGGTCGCGGGTGGGTCGCGGGGTGGGTCGCGGGTTGGGTCGCGGGGCGCGGGGTTGCGGGTGGGACGACGACAACAAACAACAACAACAACAACAACAACAACAACAACAACAACAACAATTACTAGCACGTGGGGACACTCCGTTCTCACCAGTGCCAGGGTTTTCATAGGAGGCGGGCAATACCCCCACTTTGTGGGGGGGCCGGTTCAAGCTCTACCAAATTTCCAAACGACTCTTCGCCACCACCCACACCCAGCTTCCCGCCCTATGACGTTCGGACACTTCACTTCGTGGCATGCGGACGACCGTGGCTACTATTCAGGGCCCCGCGGCCGACGACGACGGCGTGCGCGCGCGAAGAAAAAACGAATGTGTCCCGCATGGTATTATTTGACAGGGATGATGGCCCTGGCAGGTGCGCAACCGTTGTTGCAGAAGTTCGAAAAAGTTGCTCGCAAAAGCCCGTTTGACAGAAATGTTTAAAAAGTGTTGGGTTTCCTACGAATCCGCAAGAGCGCGCGGGATGAGATTTTGACAATTTTTTGTTGAAAAACCATTGGTTTTTTGATGTTTTTATGTTAAAATCGCTGCGAACACTAAGGTTTTGGAAGGATTTCGTCTTGCGCGCGCGAATGTCCACTTTACCTTATTTTTTGCAAGGGATTCTTGAAATTTGATTATATTAGAACAAGAAATGTCATTTTCTATTGTTTTTTGCAAGGGAAAGCGGATTACAACAAAACAACCGGATCCTGTACACATCGTTTTGCCTGAGGTTTCTTCACGAAAATGATGAAAACGTGGCTGCGGCCTAAGCGCGGCGGGGGGGGCGCGCACCAGGGGGCCCAACAATAATTATTCTTTAGAAGTAATAATATTCAACAACAACAACAACACCAACACCAACAACAACAACAACAACAACAACAACAAGAACAAGAACAATCACGACAGCAGCAACAACAAAAACAACAACCAACAACAACAACAACAACAACAACAACAACAACAACAACAACAACAACAACAACAGCAGCAACAACAACAACATCAACAACAACAACAAAAACAACACCATCAACAACACCAACAACAACAACAACAACAACACCAACAACAACAACAACACTTACAACAACACCAACACCACCAACACCACCAACAACAACAACAAACACAAACAACAAACAACAAACAATAAACAACAAACAACAACAAACAACAACAAACAACAACAACGAGAATCCGCACCGCGGAATTCCACTTCAGCCACGCACCCAGGGACAGTGAATGACCGTTCGGCCCCTCACTCTGGTATGAGCACGCCCCGTGATCCGACTCAAACACCACTGCAAGGTGCTCGCGGTGTGCACACTCACGACCACTTCCTAATGTTTTTGGATAGGGATGGTGGGGGTGGGGCGGGCTCTCATTATGTCTGGTCGACTGCCGGGCAAGTGGTGGAGGGGGTGTTCGTCAGTCCGGACCAGTGGTGACCCCCCCCCGCGACGGTGAAGAATGGGGCTGGAATTGGAAGAACTCTAAGCCAACTTTGCCTAAAGGGCTGGTAGGGTGATGGGGGAGCGCGCGGACTTGCATTGTCTTGCCAGGGCAGCAGCCGCACTCGCTGGCAGGAGTTTCCAACCGCCCTGCGCGGGATGGCTTTACAGCGTTACGCTTCCGACATTTCGTAACGTTTTGCGATTTGTGCTGTGGTCGCGACTTCATCGGCCAGTGATGTTTTATATCATGGACGGCTGAGGGGTTCATGAAGTGAGTGCTGTTTGGTGGCTGTTAGTGGTTGTTGGTGATTATGCCGGGGGGCGGGGGGAACGCGGCATGGTAATGAGGAGAAGGACGAGGAGGAGAAGGAGGAAGGAATCTGGATCGAGGAGGGGGATGATGATGATGATGATGATGCTGATGATGATGATGATGCTGATGATGATGATGATGATGATGATGATGATGATGATGGTGGTGGTGGGTGGTGGTGGTGGTGGTGGTGGTGATGATGATGATGATGATGATGATGATGGATGAGGAGGAAGGAGGAGGAAGGAAAGAACAAGGAGGAGGAGGGAGGAGGAGGGAGGGGGAGGAAGGGGAGGAGGAGGATGTGGGAGGAGGAGGAAGAGGAGGGACGAGGGAAGAGGTAAAAGGAGAGGAAGAGGAAGAGGGAGGGTGAGGATAAGGACGAGGAGTAATGATGAGGAGGGGGGTGGATGGGCTGTGAGGAGGAGGAGGAGGAGGAGGAGGAGGAGGAGGAAGAAGGGGAAAAGAGGAGGAGGAGGAGGAGGAGGAGGAGGAGGAGGAGGACAACGAGGAGGAGGATCAGGATTGCGACCGCGAGGCTGCAGCCGGCCAGCTGGCGGCCCCCGCAGCCATGGCTGGGCTGCAGGAGGGGATGGGTGGGGGGAGACAGGATCGTCCTGGGCCCCACGCGCCCATGCCCCCTCCTCTGTCGCCGCCTCCTCCCCCCCACCTCCTCCTCTGCCTCGCCCCCCTCCTCCTCCTCCTCCCCTCCTCCTCCTCCTCCTCCTCCTCTTCCTCCTCCTCCTCCTCCTCCTCCTCCTCCTCCTCCTCCTCCTCCTCCTCCTCCTCCTCCTCCTCTCCTCTCCTCATCCTCCTCCTCCTCTGCCTCTACCTCCTCCTCGGCCCCCTTCCCCTCAACCTCTCGATTTACTTCTCTACATCCTCCTGTTCTTCTTCCTCCTTCTGCTCCTCCTCCTCCTCCTCCTCTTCTGCCTCGGTCTCCTCTTTCTCGTCTTTATGTGGACCTGCTGCCGCCGCCCCTCGTACACTTTCTCCTCCTCCTCCTCCTCCTCGCTGTCGCCCCTCCCCCTCCCCCTCTTCGTCCTCCCTTATCCTCCTCATCTTCCTCCTTCATGGGAATGAAAGGCGGAAGGAGGGAGGGAGAAGGGGAAACTGATGAGGAGAGAGGGTAAGGGCAAATGTGTGGAATGGAGAGGTGAGGTATACCATTCGCCCTACGGCGCGTCGGCGCTGCATGCGCTCAGGCGGGCACAAGCAAACAACTACTTCATCAGCAAGGGCACGTATCCCATCAGCACCACATATTCGAAGAGCGCGTGGGTGTAAATATTTAGCCCGTTCTATCCGGGCTCCCTTTGTTTTCCGAACGTGCATGTCGGTCACTGGCGTCAGGGCCTCACGGTCGAATGCATGATTCCGCAGTGGACTCTGCTCCCCGCTTTGGGCAGCTTTGCAGTACAGATCCACTTTGTGCTTGAGCAACGTATCGGTGATGGGCTTCTGCTGTGTTCTCAGGGTTTCCTCGTGATTTCAGACGCAGGGTAGCATATAATGCGCAATCATTGACCCCGCTGGTAGACCTCAGCATCCAGGACTGATCCCCTTCAATCGTCTTCGCCCTGCAGTGTTCAACCAGACGGTGCCGAGGCACTACAACATCTTTGGCACCACAGTTGCGTTGAACAGCTTCACGACTGCCCTGTCTTAAGGCATCGAGGTGTTGCCGTGCGCGTGCCTCCGATTCGTGAAAGTGGCGAAGCCCATGCTGGCTCGCCTCGTTTTCGCTGCGTTTACCTGGCCATCGCTACTGGTTGTGGTGCCCAAGTAAGACAATGTGTCTGTAGCCTCGATGATTTTACCTGTTGGCATGCGAACGCGCCCATCGCATCGGTTTCTTAGCAGTCGCGGCTTGCCCCAGTGCATCTCAAGACCCTTTTTTTTGGCATATTCGCAAACTGTTTTAAGCTATGTTTCCGCCTGTCAGCACCCACGCCTGCTCGTTCTGCCCCCGCAGAACGCGGGGTGGGGACGGGGGGAGGAGGGACGATGGAAGGGGAGGGGGGGTGGGCGTGGGCAGGGGACAGAACGAGGGGAAGCAGGTAGTTGGGGTGATGATGATGATGAAGACGACGATGACGACGAGCATGATGAGGAGGAGGATAATCACGACGACGATGACGATGGCGACGATGATGACGATGCCGATGACGATGATGAGGATGATGATGAGGAGGATTCTGATGACGATGACGATGTCGATGACGATGACGATGGCGATGATGATGACGATAACGATGATGATGCTGATGATGATGACGATGATGCTGCCGATGATGATGCTGCTGATGATGATGCTGATGAGGATGTGGACAAGGATGGTGATGACGGTGATGATGATGCTGATGATGATGATGGTGATGATGATGAGGATGAGGATGAGGATGATGATGATGATGATGATGATGATGATGATGATGATGATGATGATGATGATGATGATGATGCTGATGATGATGATGATGATGGTGGTGGTGGTGGTGGTGGTGGTGGTCGTGGTAATGATCATGCTGAGGAGGAGGATGAAGAGGATGAGAAGGAGGAGGAGAAGCAGGCGGAGGAGGAAGAGACGGATATTATTGCTCAGAGTCTCCGAATCGCAGGAGCGTGCCGTACGGTTCCAGATGTTATTGAGTAGGATTATGATGTTGATGTTGAGGATGATGATCACGATGCTCCTTCTGCTGCTGCTGATTACGATGCCATTCAGGAGTTGAAACCGATGCAGTGTGTGAGCAGAGGGGGAGTAGGAGGGGAACGACGGTGATGATGACGGTGATGGTGATGATTATAACGATGCCGATGAGGAGAAATATGATGTTGCTGATGATGATGGTGGTGATCATGATGAGGAGGAGGAGGAGGAGGACGAGGAACATGATCAGGCTGGCAACGATGGCGATTACAGGAGGACGTGCAAGGTTTTGGAGCATGACGGGAACGGATTGTTGGGGACGGTAGTGATTATGGTGATGCTGATGGTGGGGATGACGACGAACGCAATGCTTATTGCAATGCTGCGGATGCTGATCATGACAATGACAATGATGACTAATGATAACGATAACAATGGTGATGCTGATGATGATGGCGATGATGATGATGATGCTGATGATGATGATGCTGATGATGATGATGATGATGAAGATGATGATGATGCTGATGATGATGATGATGATGCTTATGCTTATGCTTATGATGCTGCTGATGATGATGATGATGAGGATGGTGATGATGATGATGATGATGATGATGATGATGATGATGATGATGATGATGGCGATGGCGATTGGTGATGACGATGGACGATGGTGATGGTGGAGGGTGAGGATGAGGCTGCGGACGAGGATGAAGAGTATACTCACGGACTGGGAGGATACAGGGGAATATGTGGATAATCGATGATGGCGATGATGGTGAAGAGAAGGATGAGGAAGGACCGGGAGGATGAGCACGAGAATGAGAGGGAGGACGATGGACTGTTGTATTGCCATGCCCCGCGGCGGTGATGCGTGCCATGGCTTCATCCTCTGCGCTCTCCTCCCTTATCCTCCTAATGGTGCGCGCTCGGCCTCCCTAGTCGGCCTTCCTCCCTTCTCGCCCTCTTCCTCCTCGAATGGGGGGAATGGTGATGAAGAAGATGAGGGCGATAATGAAGATCAGGAGGAGGAAGACGCCGATAATGATGCTGCTGACTATGATGATGATGACGATGAGGATGATGATGTGTTGACGACGATAATGATGATGCTGATGATGATGATGAGGATGATGGTGATGGCCGTGGCGGCGGTGGTGATGGTGATGAGGATGAGGATGAAGATGAGGATGAGTTTGAGAATGTCGGAGAAGGGTGAGACGATTCAGGGGAATAAGAGTACGATGATGAAGACGATGCATGGGATGGAGAGGACACGCTGGACGAGGATGATGATCTTGAGGCTGAGGAGGAGGAGGAAGAGGACGACGAAACGAACGGTGATGATGCTGCTTTTGATGATGATAATGCTGCTAAGCGGGGTGTGGACGCAGAGGCGAATCAAGTTCATGACCAGGAGTTTGTGGGTCATGATGAATAAACAGGTTGTGATATTTGAGGACGATACATTTGATCGATGAGCATGCGGATGGAAGGAATACTGAGACACTGGTGCTGATGATAGCGGCGATGTTCGCATCGGGTGGCGGGGTGGCGATCATGATCATGCGAGTGACGTTGACCATGTATGACTGGTATTGGAGAAAATGAGTGTGGAGAAGGGCGATGACAAGGAATATGTATGGTGATGAATGTATGGTGCTGCTGATGCTGTTGATGAGGAGGAGCGTGATGAGGAATATATGGAGGTTGGCAAGGATTGTGTTTGATGGGTTCTTGAGTGTGGAGGATGGATGCGGACGAGGAAAAGGAGGATTCTGACCAGACGTATGATTGATGATCTGTCTGACGGAGAGGACACAGTATTGAGGATGAGAAGGATGAGGACAGGGCTGGGTTGGGTGAGGGGTTTTGGGGTTGGGCCGAGGAGGACGAGGAGGAGGAAGCGGAGGAGGAGGCGGCGTTGCTGATGCTGATGCTGCTGATAATTGTGATAAGGAGCCGGAACAGGAGCAGGAGGAGGAGGAGGCGGAAGAGGAGGAGAATGAGGATGATCATGATGATGATGCTGATGATGACGATGATGATGATGCTGCTGATGATGAGAATGATGATGCTGATGATGATGAGGATGATAATGAGTTGGTGACGAAGATGGTGATGATGATGATAATGGTGATGGCGGGGATGGTGGTGATGGTGATGGTGATGCTGATGAGGATGAGGATTAGGATGAGTTTGAGAATGTGAGAGGAGGATGAGACGATTCAGGGGAATAACAGTACGATGATGGAGATGATGTGGTGGATTGAGAGGACATGGTGGACGAGGATGATGATCTTGAGGCTTGGAAGGATGACGAAGCGAACGGTGATGATGATGATGATGATGACGATGATGATGATGATGATGAGGATGATGATGATGATGATGATGATGATGACGATGCTTCTGATGATGATATTGCTTCTAACCGGGGTGTGGACGCAGAGGCGAATCAAGTTCATGACCATGAGTATGTGGGTCATGATGAAGAAAACAGGTTGTGACAGTTGAGGACGAGTTATTTGATGAATGAGAATGCGTATGGAAGCAATACTGAGACACCGGTGATGGTGATAGCGGCGATGTTCGTATCGGGGAGCGGAGTGGCGATCATGATCATGCGAGTGACGTTGACCATGTATGACTGGTATTGGAGACTGAGTGTGGAGAAGGGCGATGACAATGAATATGTATGGTGATGAATGTATGGTGGTGATGATGCTGTTGATGAGGAGGAGCGTGATGAGGAATATATGGAGGTTAGCAAGGATTGTGTTTGATGGGTTCTTGAGTGTGGAGGATGGATGCGGACGAGGAAAAGGAGGATTATGACCAGACGTATGATTGATGATCTGTCTGACGGAGAGGACACAGTTTCGAGGATGAGAAAGATGAGGAAAGGGGTTGGTTGGGTGGGGGGTTTTGGGGGTGGGACGGAGGAGCAGGAGGAGGCGGCGTTGCTGATGCTGATGCTGCTGGTAATTGTGATAAGGAGGGGAAATAGGAGCAGGAGAGAGTACGGAAGAGGAGGACGCGGAGGCGGGGGAGGAGTCATGATGCTGGTGATGACGATGATGATGATGATAATGATGATTATGATGATGATTGATAGTGATTATGATGCTGCTGCTGATGATGATGATGGTAGTGATGGTGATGGTGATGGTGATGGTGATGGTGATGGTGATGGTGATGGTGATGGTGATGGTGATGGTGATGGTGATGATGATGATGCTGATGATGATGATGATGATGATGATGATGATGATGATGATGATGATGATGTTGAGGATGATGTAAAAGAGGAGGTCGAATATGATTATGACTATGATGAAGATGTATGATGATGAGGACGAGAAGCAGGAGGAGGAGGAAGAGGAGGAGGAGGAAGGAAGAGAAGGAGGAGGGAATGGGGAGTGCCAGGGCCTCCCGCCCATGCTCGACATCCCGGTGCCAGCGGTTCCGGACCCGCTGGAGGTGCTGCGGCAGAAGCAGGCGAGTTGGTCTCGCGGCCATTCACTGCCCGTCGCTGCGGTGCTCCATGGTTGTCGTCGTCGTCGTTGTTGACTTCTCATTTCTGAGGAATAATTAACGTTGATCCCCCCCACCGGTGCATACTGTTTTTTCTCCATCAAAGTGTGCCCCTCGACGCTCGCACCCTGTTTCTTATCAGGGAAAGTCTTGAGGCTCAAACTGGACCCCTGGCCCCCGGGTTACAACAACAACGGCTCCCGCCTGAGACTTCCTCACAATTCAGCCAGGACCCCCGCTCCTGCCCGAGACTTCCTCGCATTTTATTCAGGAATCGCGCTCTCGCTGGGGGCTCCCTTACAATTTATTCAGGAATCGCTCTCCCGGCGCTCTGGAGTCGCGCTCTCGCTGGAGACTTGCTTGCAATTTACTGAGGAATAGCGCCCTTGCGTTGGAATTTCTTCCAATTTACTCAAGCGCCGCGCTCCCGACACCCAGGCACCCAGCAGTCGCCTTTCGCTTGGGACTCCCTCACAGATTACCTAGAAATCGGGATCTCGCTGCCCTTCATGGCCCCGTTGCAACCCTTCGTGGCCCCCTCGCTTTGTTTCGTGGCCCCGTTGCAGCCCTTCGTGGCCCCCTCGCTGTCCTTCGTGCCCCGTTGCAGCCCCTCGTGGCCTCCTCGCTGCCCTTCGTGGCCCCGTTGCAGCCCTTCGAGGCCCCCTCGCTGCCCTTCGTGGCCCCGTTGCAGCCCATCGTGGCCCCCTCGCTGCCGTTCGTGGCCCCCTCGCAGCCCGTCGTGGCCCCGTTGCAGCCCTTCGTGCCCCCTCGCTGCCCTTCGTGGCCCCGTTGCATCCCTTCGTGGCCCCCTCGCTGCCCTTCGTGGCCCCACATATGTATGCCGTTCGTGGCCCCCGCTCGTTCGCGCCCGTGGTGGCCCCATATGCATGCCCTTCGTGGCCCCGCTGTCGCCGTTTGTGGCCCCCTCGCTGCCCTTCGTGGCCCCGTTGCTGCCCTCAGTGGCCCCGTCTTTGCCCTCCGCGGCCCAGTACACGTATGCCCTTCGTGGCCCCCGCTCGTTCGCGCCCGTTGTGGCCCCATGTGCATGCCCTTCGTGGCCCCGCTGTCGTCCGTCGGTGGCCCCCTCACTGTCCTACCTGGCCCAGTTGCTACCCTCAATAGCCCCATCGTTGCCTTCTGTGGCCCCGCATTATCTGCCCTTCGTGGCCCCCGCTCGTTCGCGCTCTTCGTGGCCCCATACGCATTCCTTTCGTGTCCCCGCTGTCGCCCGTCGTGGCCTACTTCGTGTCCTTGTGGCCCTGCTGTCTTTCTCTCTCGCTCTCGCTTTCGCTCGTCGTCGTCGTCGCCGTCGTCGTCGTCGTCGTCGTCGTCGTCGTCGTCGTCGTCGTCGTCGTGGTCGGTCCCCTGTCCGTCCCTCTTGGGGTCGGGTCGACGGTCCGCGGCCGCCCCGCCGATCAGCGCTGCCGCTGGCCAGGCCGACGGTCCGCGGCCGCCCCGCCGCTTGCCGGGGCCCGGCTTGCAGGGAAGAATGGTATACCCCCCAACAGGGGTTCGATCGAAGACGAAGAGGGCGGGTATCGAGGGTTTGGGAAATACGCGTTACTGGACACTCGAGCAGATAAGGGCGAACAGTCTTAAACTGTTGTTGTTGTTGTTGTTGTTGTTGTTGTTGTTGTTGTTGTTGTTGTTGTTGTTGTTGTTGTTGTTGTTGTTGTTGTTGTTGTTGAACTCTCATTCTTGAAGAATAATTATTGTTGATCCCCCCCCACCGGTGCACATTGATTTTTTTCGATTGAAGTGCCACCCCCGGGGCTCGCACCTTGTTTTTTCTCAAGGAAAGTCTTCCTGCTCAAACTGTGCCCCTGCCCCCCGGGCTACAACAACAACGGCTCCCGCCTGAGACTTCCTCGATTTTTACTCAGGACCCCCGCTCCCGCCTGAGACTTCCGCGCAATTTACTCAGGAAAGGCGCTCCCGTCTGAGACTTCCTCGCAATGTAATCAAGACCCCCGCTCCCGCCTGAGACTTCCGTGCAATTTACGTGGGAACGGCGCTCCCGCCTGAGACTTCTTCGAATTTTACTCAGGACCCCCGCTCCTGCCTGACATTTCCGCGCAATTGACTCAGGAACGGCGCTCCCGCCTGAGACTTCCTCGCAATTTAGTGAGGACCCCCGCTCCCGCCTGAGACTTCCGTGCAATTTGCTCAGGAACGGCGCTCCCGCTTGAGACTTCCTCGCAACTTAGTCAGGGCCCCCGCTTCCGCCCGAGATTTCCTCACAATGTACTCAGGACTGCGCTCTCGCGTGCGACGTCCTCACAAATTATTCTGGAATTGCGTTTCGGCGCTCAGGAACCACGCACGCGCCAAGGACGCCTTCACAACGTGGTATCTTCCCTCTTCCTTCGTCCTTCCCCCTCCCCTTCCTCCCACTCTCCCTCGTTCTTCCCCTCCTCCTCTTGCAGGGCCCGCGCCAATTCCAATGGCGGGCAGAGAGATGTACGCCCCCGAAGGATTGTCCGCCCGTTCCGGTTTGCCCGTACGTCTAAGCCCGCCGGCCCCAGCAAAGAGAAATAATCCCCCCGAAAGGGGTGTGATCGAAGACGAAGAGGGCGGGCATCGAGGGTGTAGGGTATACGTGTTGAATGACTCGCGGGCAAGTAAGAGCGTACAGCCTTAAAACGGTTGTTGTTGTTGTTGTTGTTGTTGTTGTTGTTGTTGTTGTTGTTGTTGTTGTTGTTGTTGTTGTTGTTGAACATTATTACTTCTAGAGAATAATTATTGTTGGGGCCCCTGGTGCGCGGCCCCCCCGCCGCGCCTAGGCCGCAGCCACATTTTCATCATTTTCGTGAGGAAGTCTCAGGCAAAACGGGTTGGTCCGGATCCGGTTGTTTTGTTACGGCCCGCTTTCCCTTGCAAACAAATAAGCTAAAGTGGACATTTCTTGTTCTAACATAACCAAACTTCAAGAATCCCTTGCAAAAAATAAGGTAAAGTGGACATTCGCGCGCGCAAGACGAAATCCTTCCAAAACCTTAGTTTCGTAGCGATTTTAACATAAAAACATCAAACAAACCAATGGTTTTTCAACAAAAAATGTCAAACTTTCATCCCGCGCGCTCTTGCGGATTCGTAGGAAACCCAACACTTTTTAAACATTTCTGTCAAACGGGCTTTTGCGAGCAACTTTTTCGAACTTCTGCACAACGGTTGCGCACCTGCCAGGGCCATCATCCCTGTCAAATAATACCATGCGGGACACATTCGTTTTTTCTTCGCGCGCGCACGCCGTCGTCGTCGGCCGCGGGGCCCTGAATAGTAGCCACGGTCGTCCGCATGCCACGAAGTGAAGTGTCCGAACGTCATAGGGCGGGAAGCTGGGTGTGGGTGGTGGCGAAGAGTCGTTTGGAAATTTGGTAGAGCTTGAACCGGCCCCCCCACAAAGTGGGGGTATTGCCCGCCTCCTATGAAAACCCTGGCACTGGTGAGAACGGAGTGTCCCCACGTGCTAGTAATTGTTGTTGTTGTTGTTGTTGTTGTTGTTGTTGTTGTTGTTGTTGTTGTTGTTGTCGTCAATGTCTTCGTCGTCAGCGTCGTCATGGTCGCCGTCGTGGTCGTCGAGGTGGTCGTCGTCGTGGTGTTGGCTGTTGTCGTCTTCGTCGGAGTCGCTGACGTCACCATCGTCGTCGTCGTCGTCGCTGTCGCCGTCGTCGTCGTCGTCGTCGTCGTCGTCGTCGTGGTCGTTGTCGTTGTTGTCGTTGGGGTCGCCAACGTCGTCTTCGCCCGCTTCCCATGCGCTCCTTCCCTCTCTCTCTCTGGTGTTCGCCGCCGTTGTCGTCGTCGTCGCCGTCGTCGTCGTCGTCGTCGTCGTAGGAGTGTCCGGAGTCTGAGTCGGGGGAGGCGTAGGAGGAGGATGAGGGGGAGAGGAAGGATTGGGAGAAGGACCAGGAGGGACAAGGGAGCAATGGAGGGGGAGTATGTGGAGGAGGAGGAGGAGGGGGAGGAGGAGGAGGAGGAGGAACAGCGGAGGAAGAGGAGGAAGAGGATCAATGGGCGAGGAGGAGGAGGAAGAAGAATAGAAGGAGGAGGGGGAGGAGGAGGAGGAGGAGGAGGAGGAGGAGGAGGAGGAGGAGGGGGAAGGGTGAGATGGGGATGGGGGCTGGGGAGACTAGGGAAAGGACACGGGACGGGATGGGGATGAGGCAGGAGGGGTCGTGGGAGCGGGATCAGCGGGCGGAGGTCAAGAAGGACGTGGAGGCGGACGGCGACAAGATTGGGCGGACGAGTGTGGGGACGGGGAGACGGGAGGGAACGAAGTGTGGCAGGAGAGGATGGGATGACGCGCTCCTCCCATTCGGACAGCGGGCCAGGAGCTGGAGAAGATAAAGGCGGATCGCGCCAAGCAGCTGAAGCGGGGACCAGGTCTCCTCCTCCCTCCATCCCTTCCTTCCTCCCTCCCTCCCTCCCACCCACCTACCCTCCTCGTCCTCGATCCTCGTCCTCTGCATTCCTCCTCCTCTTTCGTCTTCTTCTTCTTCTTCACCTCCTTCTCCTTCTCAGTATTATCATTGTTCTCATTATTCATATGTTTATTACTCTTACTTTTCTTATTATGTTTCTTCTTATTACTTGTCTTATTATTCTTCCCCCTCCTCCTCCACCTCCATCCCTCTCGCTCCCTCCTTACTCATCTGTCTTATCCGTCTCCTCTATCCTTCCCTTCCTGCCTCCTTATCCTCTTTCTTCTCCTTCCTCCTCCTCGTCGTCCTCCGCCCTTCCTCCTCTTCCCTCATTACTCTCCTCCTCCCCCTTCCTCCTCCTCCCTCCTCTCTCAGTACATCGGTGGTGTATTTTGGGTTACTCTGGTGTCTCCTCCTCCTCCTCCTCCTCCTCCTCCTCCTCCTCCTCCTTCTCCTCTCTCATCCTCTCTCCTCCTCTTCGTCCCTCATCCTCTCTCCTCTCTCTTTCCTCTTTCCTCCTCCTCCCTCCCTCCTTCCTTCCCTCCCCCTCCCTCCCTCCTCCCGGTCGTTTTCAACATGTGGCTCTCGCCAAAGCGCAGCGTTGTGCACATTCTTGTCAAAAGCCTCCGGCAGTGCCACACATGGAGGCCAGTGCATTTTTGAAACTGTGGCTCTTGCCTGGCGATTCCTCCACAAACATGCCACATCTCTAATCATATGAAATTATACCCGTGCGGCAGAGGACCCTAAACAGCTTTACGCAGTCACGACGGGGACCACGATGGGGGATTCACGATGGTGGGCCACGGTGCGGAGCAACGACAGGGGGTGATCGGAATAGGGACGGGGATAGGATTGGGGTGGGGATAAGGGATACAGGGTTGGGGTAGGAACAGGGATAGGGATAGAGGCATAGGCACAGGGATAGGCACAGGGATAGGGATGACCAACGAGATAAACAATGGGATGGTTTGGGCCACCTAACAGGGGTTACAACACGTTTGCTTTGCAATTGCGGGGCCGATACATTTGCAAGACAACTTACTATCATTTGCCGTCTCTGTTCTCCGTTGTCGCGTCTTTTCGCTCGCAACCCGCTTTTGCTGTTCGAATCCTCTGGTCTGCGGCGGGCGCAGGGGTGGGTGAATTCATGACTTTTGGCGTGCCCTGTCTCTCTCAGGCCACGGTCCATTTCATGAGTTTGCCTATTGCAGGTCTGTTCTCGGAGTGTTCCTGGTTTGCCTGGCGACTCTTTGCACTGCATGGCGGATGAGGTTGAGTTGATAGTGTGGCGGTTGGTTGTCGAATGGCAGCCCAGCTCAGTGCGGCAACTTCTTGGGTCGAAAGACAGCCCAGCTCAGTGCGGTAACTTCTTAGGTGGAAAAACAATGGGATACAAAGGGAGGCAACGGGATAGAATGGGAGACAGTGGGAATCAACGGGAGACGAATGGAGGCAGCGGGAGGCAGCGGGAGACAATGGGAGACAACGGGAGGCAACTTCACCCTGCCGATGTCGGTTCCAGCAGTGCCGGCAACTTAGTGTTCTTACGTCGGCTATTTTGAGGAATCGGATGAGTCCTCCGAGGTTTCGCCACGTTGCCGCCCGTTGCCACCCCGCTGCCGCGCAACGCGCTTGGGGTCCGCAAAGGTTTCGCCACGACACCGCCCGTTGCCGCCGTGTTGCCGCCCACCGCGCTTTGGGGGGTGCGCCGAGGTTTCGCCCCGTTGGCGCCCGTTGCCGCCTTGGTGCCGCCCACTGCTCCTGGGGGGTCCGTCGAGGGTTCGCCACAGTGCAGCCCGTTGCCGCCTCGTTGCAGCCCCCTTCGCTTGGGGGGTCCGCCGACGTTTCGCCACGTTGCCGTCCGTTGCCGCCTCGTTGCCGCGCACCGCGCTCGGCGGATCCGCCGAGGTTTCGCCGCGATGCCGCCCGTTGCCGTCTCGTCCGCCGAGGTTTCGCCACGTTGCCGCAGGTTGCCGCCTCGTTGCCCCCCACCGCACTTGGGGTGTCCGCCGAGTTTCCGCCACGTTGCCGTCCGTTGCCGCCACGTTGCCGCCCACCGCGCTTGGCGGGTCCGCCGAGGGTTCGTCTCGTTGCCGTGCGTTGCCGCCTCGCCGCCTCCCACTGCGCTTGGGGTGTCCTCCGAGGTTCCGCCGCCACGTTGCCGCCCGTTGTCACCCCGCTGGCGCCCACCACCTCGCTTGGCGGGTCCGCAAAAGGTTTCGCCACGATACCGCCGTGGCCGCCTCGTTGCCGCCCGCCGCGCTTGGGGATTCTGCCGAGGTTTCGCCCCGTTGGCGCCGCTTGCCGCCTTGTTGCCGCCCACTGCTCCTGGGGGGTCCGCCGAGGCTTCGCCACGTTGCCGCCAATTGCCGCCTCGTTGCCGCCAACCGCGTTTGGCGGGCCCGCCGAGGTTTCGCCACGTTGCCGCCCGTTGCCGCCTCGTTGCCGCCCACCGCACTTGGGGGTCTCCGCCGAGGTTTCACCACGTTGCCGCCCGTTGCTGCCGCGTTGCTTTCCACCGGGCAAGAGGGTGTCCGCCGAGCCACGTTGCCGCCCGTGCCGCCTCGTGGGCGCTCGTGGGCCTCCCGTGCTCTTGGCGGGTCCGCCGAGCCACGTTGCCGCCTCGTGGATGCTCGTGGGCGCCCCGTGCGCTTGGGGCGTCCGCCGAGGCTTCAACACGAGAGTCCGCCGATGTTTCGCCACGTTTCCGCTCGTTGCTGCCACGTTGCCGCCCACCGCGCTTGGCGGATCCGCCGAGGTTTCGCCACGTTGCCGCCCGTGCAGCCTCGTGGGCACTCGTGGGCGCCCCGTGCTCGTGGCGGGTCAGCCGACGTTTCGCCACGTTGCCGTTTGCTGCCCCTCGCGGGGGCTCGTGGGCACCTCGTGCGCTGGGTGGGTTCGCCGAGGTTTCACCACGTTGCCGCCCGTACTGCTTTGTGGGCGCTCGTGGGGTTTCCGTGCGTTGGGGGTGGATCCGCCGAGGTCGCGTCACGTTGCCGCCCGTGCCACCTCGTGGGCGCTCGTCGGGCCTCGTTCGCAGAGCTTACGCCACGGCGCGTTGCGTGCACCACCTAGTTTACACCACGTAGCTTGCATCGCATCGCTTGCGCTACGCACACACACCACACCTCACTGCTTGCACAGCCTTTCCCCCACTGCCAGTCCACACCTGATTCCACATGTATAGGCACATGCATCTATGTGTATATGTGTGTGTATGTATGCATGTATGTATGCATGTATGAATGTATGCATGTATATAAATGTGTATATGGTTGTAGGTGGTTGTACGTTTGTATGTGCATACGTATGTATATACGTTGTCTGCATGTATGTGCATATGTATGTATCTACGTTCTAGGTAGGTATATCTGTATATATGTGCATATAAGTATGTATGCATGCATGTATGCATGTATGTATATATGTATGCATGTATATATGTATGTATGCATGCATGGGTGCTTGTGTATACTCATGTATAGACGCACACACATCACAAATGTGTGTACACGCATACATGTCCTACACTACGCGGCAGCGCTTACATTCCGCACTCATATCAAACCGAACAGGTTTCACGTCCACATCTCGTGCACGACATCTATCACACCACATAGCTTGCATCGCACATGTTTTGCTCCCACACGGTGCCAGGACTCACAGTTTGGGGTCCACGCTGGCTGGCACTTCAACAGACAGGCTGTTCATGGAACAGCTACACGGATGGACGGCTTTTCGTGTTCAATGGGGCTCCCGCTGAGATTTCGTTCGGTGTCTGGATCGAGAGTTCAAGCACTGCGAAGCAGCTCCGCAGATGGAGATCGGTGTTGTTTCAAGGTGGGCTGTCGTTGGGCAAGTTCTCCGATCCTGCATTCGCGCCGTGTCGAACACCCCTCAGGTCGAAGGGTGGAGGGCGGATCCTTTCAAAAAAGAGCTCCTGCTTGGATTGCGGGCCCATGGGGCGCTCGTCTTTCCATGGGGGCCACGCCCCGCAGTGAGACATACTGCTTGTAGGGCCTCGTGAAAAAAAAGGCGACTTGCGACGGCAGGCTGCGTTGCAGGATCTTCGATGCCTCTCGAGTTCACTCTGGTCGCTCCTCGTCATCGCCGTCCTCCTTCCTCCTCCTCCTCCTCCTCCTCCTCCAACTGCTCCACTCGTCGTCTCTCCTCCCTCCTTCCTCCCTCCTTTCTCCTCCCTCCTCCCTCCTCCTCCTTTCTCCTCTCTCCCGTCCCCCTCCTTGTTTTGTCCTCGTCGTCGTCGTCCTCCTCCTCCTTCTCCTCCTCCTTCCCCGATCTCTCTCTTCCTCTCTTCCTCCTCGCTCTCCCCCTCTCCCGCCGCCCGCCTCCCTCCGCGCCTCCCTCCTCGCATCCCCGTCCCAGGGGTGGCGGCCCTGGTGCAGGGAGCCCTGAAGCGGGCGCAGACCACGGCGACCGCCAACAAGAAGCCAGAGGAACGTTCGTCCGGTAGGGGGGAGAGGGGGGGGGATCGTCGTCGTCGTCGTCGTCGTCGTCGTCGTGGTGGTGGTGGTGGTCGTCGTCGTCGTTGTGGTCATCGTCGTTGTCGTAATCGTGGTGTCGTCGTCGTCGTCGTCGTCGTCGTCGTCGTCGTCGTCGTCGTTCGTCATCGTCGTGGTCATCGTCCTCCTCTTCTCTTCCTCGTCCTCCCCCTCCGTACGCCCTGAAGGGCAGAGGTCATGTGTGAAAGTGGTACTGTTTGTTTGAATATGTTTTTGGCTCCCAGGGGCGCTTCCTGGGCCCCAGGGCCTTCGAAGACGACTCGGGACGAAACGCTGGTCCTTGGGTCGTGTAGGCAGCTCGGAACGGGCTCTGGTGAAGTTTGTATGCTTGGAGCACGGGCGGGGCAGCAGCGCGCTGCGACGTCGTCTCTTGCAGACCTGGTGCTGTCTTGGCACGTGTGTTCGGGCCGCCCCCTCAAGACATTCGAAATGAGGCAACACATGGAGCGCTGGCCCCGGGGAGGGCCACTGGGCGCAGGACCTGTTTCCTTCTTGCCAAACCGTCGGGTTCCCAGAGAGTTATCCGAGAAAAGTTGATTATCGCCGCCAGTCGAAAGAGGAGGAGGAGGTGGAGGAGGAAGAGGAGGAGGAGGAGGAGGAGGCGAAGGAGAAGGAGGACGAGGAGGAGGAAGGAGGAAGAGGAGGTGGAGGAGGAGGGACCAATGAGGAGACGGAGGATGAGGAGAGGGAGCACGACGCGACTCGTACGATCACTTCTCTTGCGAGCCACAGACAGCAAGCATGCAGCATGCGTTGCGGGCCAGTGGACGAGTCGCTCCGATGAGCGAGGCCGCTCTGTTGCCACGCCGTTCAGCATCGGCTCCAGGGCAAAGGTGGTCGTGCATCCGTGGCAGTGCGTCCGTGTCAGCTTCAGCGGGAGGAGGAAGACAGCGAGCCCAACGCGACTCCAACGAGGGCTTCTCTTGTGTCTCAAGACTAGCTAAACATATGATGTGTTTCGGGTTGGGGGACGTGCTGCTCCGTCCAGAATTGGCCGAAGCAGGACACTCTTCCAGAGCGAAGGTTGTCGTGTATCACGGCAGTATGCGGACGCCGTGAACGCGCTGCGCGAGAAGTGCATTCATCCGCGAGCCTGTTGGGATCTTTGGGGGGCCTGTTGGGGCCTCTTGGGGCCGTCTCGGGCGCGATGGCCCTCTCGTGGAGAGGCTCGGCTGAAGCATCTCGGCGCGTCTGGGAAGGCATCGCTGGAGGCTTCCGGGGGCGCCTCTTGCGGGCACATTGCGGCATCGGGGGGCGTCTTCTGAGCATCTTAGCGCCCTTGGGAGCTGGTTGGGCCTTGTCGAGACGGTCTGGGGGCATTTTGCAGCCGTCTTGGTGGCCATCTTCGGGAGGTGTGGGGTGGCTGAGGGGGTGGATTGGGGGGGGTGATAGGGGGGACGATCCACCGCTCCCCTCGCGGCCAGGGGGCAGACACGCCGTTGGAGGAAACTATCAGAAACCCGTCCAGGCAATCAACAGGCAGTTGCCCTTCGTCGCCCTCTTCCTCCTCCTCTGTGGACTCTGTGCGAGACAGATAACCCACCCCCACACCCACCAGGCTGATTTTTACATTTTTTCCGGAATGCTTGCGGACTCACTCGGCACGCCCCCCCACGGCGACGATTGCGAATCGCGACGTTACTGGTTTAACACATCGTTTTATCAAACCAGTATCGTTTCTATAAAACCGTATTTTATAAAACACGTTTCTGCGTTAATAAAATGGCGCTGATGCACGTACGCGAAGGTGTGATTTGAGCAATGTCCCAGGCAATTTCGTGCGCGGTCGTTTTTTGTTGTTGTTGAAGTTGTGGGTGTTTATACACATTTTTGGATTTATAGTAATGTCTTTCCCCAGCCCTCGGCGGTTGCGTCTTTCGCAAGTTGCCAGGGGCCTCTCTCGGGGCACATTCAGCTGACGATGGTTGCCGGGCCACAGTCTCTAGAGGGAAGCTTTGATCATCTAACATGTGATGAGATGTGTGTGGGGGTGGCTTGGGTCGCCTTCACCTGTCGAGTTGCCATCATTCATTAGACATGGCCCGCTGGGGAAAAAACAGAAGTGCTGAAGTTGCGGTGGTGGATCCGATCCTTCATCCCGCCAGGGTGTTCGGGTGCGTGGCAAGAATAATTTCGGTGGCGTGCCACCGCTGGCGCCGAAAGTGCCGCTGGTGCCGCATCTTCTAGCCGCGCCAGCCGTGACGAACCAGTTGACCGTTCAGGTGATGGAGCACAGCATCCTCCCTCGCCGCCGCGTGCACTTGAGGTGACGTGGGCCTTCATTGGCTTTTATGGTCGGCTGCACAATCCTCCTCTCTCTCTCCTCTCCTCTCCTCTCCTCTCCTCTCCCCTCCCTCCCCTCCCCTCCCCCTCCCCCCTCCCCTCCCCTCTCTTCCTCTCTCCTCTCCTCTCCTCTCCTCTTCTCTTCTCTCCTCTCTCTCCTCTTCTCTCCTCTCCCCTCCCTCGTCCTTCTCTTCCTTCGCCCTCCTCCTCCTCCTCCGCTGCCTCCTCCTCCTCCTCCTCCTCCGCTCCCTCCTCCTCCTCCTCCTCCTCCTCGTCCTCCTCCTCCTCCCCCTCCTCACCGCTCCTCCGCCCCACGGCACGAGGAGGACCTCGCCGCGGCGGCCGCCGCCAAGGCGGCGGAGGCGGCGAGGGCGGCGCAGCAGGCCGCCTCGGGGGGCGGCCCTGCGCGAGCGGGCCTCGCCGGCGCCTCGGGGCGGCTTCCGCGCCCCGTCGGCGGAGGCGGAGGAGCGCCTTCGCCGAGGAGGAGGAGGAGGAGGAGGAGGAGGAGGAGGAGGAGGGGGAGGAGGAGGAGGAGGTACCACGCAGTGGAAGGTACGACCCGAGTTGAGGAGCGCCCCCCAGCCGTGATGAAATCAGAAACCGCACTGCAGTCGATTATACGACGCAGCGCACAGTTCGACCGAGCACGCGACGTCCCGAACACACGCATCGAGCCTACGAACGATGCGGCGGAGACTATGCGATGCGGCTCGGGCATCGCACATGCAAGGGCAGGCCTGTGCGGGGATGAATGCCACGCACTATGCGAGAGATGGCCTGCTCCTCATTCGCGCGGCTGGCTGTCATTCAGAGCGTGGCCGTGGCACGCCCTCAACAGCTCGGGGTTGCGGCCCTGTTGCACTGAATCGGCCCCGCAGCTGAGACACACGAGCGTGCGACCGAAACGCTCCATGATGTGCTGCTGGCCCCGGAAGAATACAAGCTCGTCGTCCCCACCCCCCCGAGTCCAACCGAAGCAAGCCCACCCTGAACACCTCCTCCAAGGGCGGCCGCCTGCGAGGGCGCGCGTGAGGCTTCAACTTCGGCTGGTCCTGCTGCAGCTCGTGCGACCTGAACGGCCTCGCTCAGGAAGTCCCAGGTGTCTGGGCTGATACGGAAATAACTCTTTGCGGACGCCCGCTCCAGGGGGGAGGACGCGCACCCTCGCGCACGGAGTTCTCTGAGATACCTGGTCGTCCGAGCGAACCTGTTGCATTGAGTACATCGGTGCTCAGGCAAACTATGGCAAAGCCAAAACTCATGAGAGTCCAGCACAACCGACGGGACGACATAATCGCGAGGGGCCTGCGGCGGCGTCTCTGTTCTGGGCTGGATCTCGCCAGTCTTCCTAGCAGCGGCCTGGGACATCTAGGCAAACACTCTGGTATGGTCCTTCGCTGCTTTCAAATTCCGGAAGGACCTGGGCGGGGATGTGGAGGAGGACACCCTTCTTGGCAAAGTGGTCTGCCCACTCGTTGCCTAAGAAATCACAGTCCTCCGAGCCGGCACGGCCTGCAGATCTCCGTGAGCAGGAGCCCGTTCGAAAGCAGGCTGCTCCTGCCCTTGATACAGGCGATGCAGTCTTTTCCCAGACCAAGGCGTGGCTCGAGCAGGAGTCCGTCGCGGTGGCCTGCCACGCTTGGCCATGTCTCACGAGTTTTGAGATGGCCAGGAATTATGATAGCTGGATGGGCTGCAACCTCCAACGCCTTGAGCGCCGCATTATGTTCGGCCCTCGGGACGGATTGGACCTGGCCAGGTAAAGCGCCATAGATGGTCCGCAATACGATGCCTGATTCGTCGAGCTCAACAATAGCCCAACCGAACCTACTTAAACCTGGACTCGGCGACGACTGGCCAGACCCGTTCGCGCGCACACGCCGCCCCCACATCCCACGCCAGTCGCCCTCCCCCCCACATACATCGGATAGCTCCCTTCGGCAGCAGAGGGAGAAGGGCGGCAGGGGCGGCATCCCGAAATTAAGAACGAAAACTTCCGCTCCAGCCTGGCCATAATATTTATCACTGATGGCAGCTCTGAGCTCCAGCGCATCGTCGGGCACTTTTCCTTCCAGCGATTCCAACATAGCTTCGCGCCCACACCGCTGATGCGCTTCTGAGCCAACCGCTTGCTTACAAACAAATCTCAGCGGCGATCTACGGAATTGGATGGAGTGGAGGCGCTCTGGGGTTCAACCCCCCCCTGACCAGAGAGTTTGGAGGGCCCATCTTCGCCCCGCATCGGGGATGGACAGAACAGCGTTCCTCATCGCAACTCTCTTCTTGGCTGTGGGGGAGGTGCTGAAGAAGTCCCCCTGTCTGCCAACGACGCGACCCTTCCTCGAGGAATCGGCGCACATCACACAGACAAGCCTTAAGGAGGTCACGTGGCTCCCAAGATCGGACACAAGCACTGTCGGGGGCAGCGTCGTCCAGCCAACGCACAAAAGAGAAACCCAAACAGCGGAGATAGGACTTATAGCTCCAGTCCATGTCGCTTGCTTCCGCATCCTACTCTCGACGGCCTCCCAAGCGCGAGGGAGACGACTCGGCGCGACCTTATTCTCCCGCAGGAGCGAAGCAAACCTGAGAGCCCGAGGGACAGTGGAGTCAAACACTTGGTCGAACTTGTCGTCTTTTTGGGCTGCCAAAAACAACATACGCTTGAGGCTATGCTCCGTACATGCTTCCAGCAAACGCACGAAGCTCCAGTCCCCAGATATACCAGCGCCGTCGCCAGCTGCCGGTAGGAACTCCGTTCTCCAGAGAGCCTTGACGGCCTCTCCTGTTGGGTGCGTATTCCCCCTGACTTTTTTCTTTTTGGACATCAGCGTGCGCGGGCGAAGGGTTTCCTGCAGCCGCAGGGCACGAGAGCCGTGCATTTCGTGTCCAAGGTTTCTCATCGCTTGCCAAGCTTTGATGCCCGGATGCCGAACTAATTTGGCGAACCGATCGCGCCCGCGAATCGATTTAGCAACGAACCCTGACTTGCTAGCCTGCATTGCTAAGCCCAGCGGCCTCACCTCGTTACAGAACGTACGCGCCGCCAAGGCCAGCGTTCGGGCCGGATCTTCTCCTCCCCCAGCCCTGGCCCGCTCCCCCGACCAGCTGAAGCTCGCATCATCGACCAAATCTCTGCGCGTGACCGATGGATGGAGCTTCGTTGTATTCCTGCAGGCTACGGAACAAGAGCGCTGTCAACATATGGGTTGCAATCGAACAGCCAGCAAGGATCCCTTGGTTGGAGAGGGTGGGGATGGAGAGGGAGGCGGAGGCACGCAAGCACCTCGGCTGCAAGTAGGACTGGATCGTCGCCCATGCCAGCCTCATCGGAAACCCGTTCGCGCGCTTCATCTTGCAAACCTTGCAACGCAACAGTTTCGTAACGTTTGAGCATGTCAGCGAACACCGTTAAGTTATCTTCTCCTAGCTCGTGGGCCATTTCAGCCTCGAGGTTCAGCGAGAACGCGCTGCCCGACGATGACCTGCCAGCTTCCGCGCCCCAGAAGCATTCCGAATCGCAAGCTTCCATTCCGCCGCGGTGGGCCTACGGGCTCTCGGCCATATCCTGGGAATGGTTTTCAGAAGCGCGATTCAGCGGCACCCCCTTTTCGGTTTTGGCAGTCGAGCCAACTGCGTCAGGATGCGGCCAGACGGCCAAAAGAGCAGATATTCACAGCGCATTAGAATGCAGCCAGAACTCCGAGACCTTCGTCGCTAAGGAAGATCAGACTCATCGGCGCGAAACTGAACTGGTCAACCCCGGGCCCCCAGGGAAACTTCAGAATTGCACGTTTCAGGTCAGCGACCGAAAGCTCTGGGAGGGCGTCGCAGTCTTCGGCGTCTGGCGGCAAAGCAGGTGCAGGCGCATCATGCCACGTCCAGATCTTATCACATGCTCGCATCGCCTTGTCTGCAAGCTGATGTGGCTGGGCAGGTGCGTGCACTATTACAGTAGTATCACCCACTTCCTGCAAGGCCTACCCAGGCGAGTGACGGCGCGCAAACCTGGCTCCTTGCTCGAGGGAGTCGGCGGCCCAAGCTTTCCAGGCCGACGCTGACTTCTGCGACTGCTGCTCTTCTAAGAGCTGCCTTGGCTTCGACCGCATCTTAGGCAGCATCTACACTGTGGTCTCCAGGGTAGTCGATGCCCGGCAGGAACGGCGCCGCCGCCCAGCCTTCTCAATCACCCAGCACCTGCCGCTCCGTCGGCGCCTTCAACTTGAAGCGGCCGAGCTCGATCATCAGTTCGGTAAGCTTGCTGCGCAGCGCATTGCTCGCAGCGCCAGCCTCTTGCTGATGCGAAATGAGAGCAGTCAAGTTGACGGTGGCCTCCTTCGCCCGCCGAAGGTGTCGGGCCCACCTGGCCGCGACATTCCACGAACGCTCAGCCTTCGTCATATGCTCACGCTTCGGCTGAGGTGCCCACTGCAACTTGGCCATGGCGAAGCTAATGGGGCCACCTGCACCGCGAAGGCCATCGCTTTTGCGACCGACGAGGCTATGCCGAGTAGCTCCACCTCGATCTGATGAAGCACTGCATCCCATGCAACCTGCGCTCGGCGAACCGGGGCTCGTACTCCATCCCATCGCTCAGGGAAGCGGGGACATCCAGGTGGCGGCTGTCGAGGCACATGACGCGGCCTCTTCAGCTCCCCGGCGCAGAGCTGGACGTCGCGCCCCGCCGCCGGCATGAAGACGGGAAGATGCGGGAACGTAGCCGCCGCCTCCTGCACCATGGGCTTCGCCACTCTCATGCGAGGATGTAGTCGATGCGCCTCCCTGGGAGCGATCCGCGGCGCATCGTCGCAGCAGGTGCTCCCAACGTGCCACCCAGGCCATGCAGCCATCTCCGGTCACCGAACTCCTTTGGCTCCAAATTGAAATCGCCTGCCACAATCCAGTCGTCACCAGCATGATTCAACTTTTCTATGTAGCTGCTGACCAGTTGCATCGCGAAAGTGTTGCTATCCGACCGTTCTTCGTTAATAACCGATATCATTATGAATCTTCCTGGTACCCCGAACGAACTTGGGCAGACAGCGCGCGGCCATTCGCCAACGAGGCCTGATCCTTCATGAAGGGGGCCTTAGTGATCAACGCGTTGGGTCGATCAAGGACGACCAGCCCTGCCTGAGTGCTGCTAGCATTGCCTGAAATATTAGCAGCCGACCATGCTCCTTGCCAACCTGTGTCCATAGCACGACGCTGCGCATCAGCTAAGCGGTCTGCTGCAGTGTAGTGCTCCTGGAGCGCCACCACGGCGTGAGAACAGCCTTCCAGAAATTCTCCCATCTGCTTCCCCGATGAACAGTGAAAGGTTGCTGCGCTGCCTTTCTCATGCTCGGCGAAAGGACCTGCGCTGTCATCCGCAGCGGTGGAC